TGAACAAATGTTTATTCACCCACTCATTCGCCATACTGAGGCCACAGTCAAATCAGTTCAAGGAGTGGTTCTTACCAGGCGTGGTGGCGCATGCCTTAATCCCAGCACTTGGGAGGCAGGCAGATCTCTGTGAGTACAAGGCCAGCTAGGACTATATAGTGAGTTCCAAGATAGCCAGAGCTATGTAGTGAGACCCTGTCTCAAAGACAAAAAAAAAGAGGAGCAATTCTGAGTAGCAGCTGATGCCAAGGACTTGTGTGTTTATTGTTACGACCCAGTTATTATTTTTGTGTTTTCTAGCTTTCCTTTTCCCTTTTTTATGAACTATTTTATTTTTAATTATGTGTATTGCCGGGCTCCCCTCAGCCTGAACACCGCTGCTATGGGGAGACTATTGCACACCAGTCCCCATCATGGAAGGTCAGGGTGAGGAAAGAGACCGATGGGGTGAGAAGGGCCTCAGTTGGCAGCAAGTATGGTGGGGAAGAAAACACCCAGGAGGCTGTGTCAGTGGACAGTGTGTTTATTATGGCAGAAGCAGAGGTTTATATAGGAAAGTTTCACAGGCAAAGAGGTAGGGTTGGTTTTCTGGCAGGCAGGCAGGTAGGGGGAGGGAGGAGGCTTCTAAGGCTATGTGGCCTTTGTCCTGTCCTCCAGTCACATGATCTGCAAGGGACCCAGTTAGGATTAAAGGTTTAGAGACTTAATAGTTTTGCTTGGGGGTTGTTGGGTAAGAGACAGTGTATCTAGAATGGAGCAGGCCAGTTTCCTGCCATCCTAGCTAGGAAGTCTCTGGCCTGGCTATGCTCTACATTCCAGGCACTCCTGACTTACCCCAACAGTATATGAGTATGTTCCTGTGTGTGGGTGTATGAATGTGAGTTCAGGGACTTTCAGAGGCCGGAGGCATCAGACCCCTTGGAGCTGGAGTTACAGGTAGTTGTAAGCTGCCTGATGTGGGTGCTGGGAACCCAACTCAGGTCACCTGGAAGTTTCAAATGCTCTTAAGCACTAAGTCATCTATAAGCCCTCTCTTTTCTTTCCTTTTTCCTCCCTCCTTCTTCTTCCCCCTCTTCCTTTCTCCCTTCCTTCTTGGGCTTCCAGGGTTTCTCCTATGCTAAGCACACAGTGAACTACACCCTTAGCCTCTACACCAATAACTTTCAAGAACTTACCAAAATATCATGCAAAGCACATTCTGTGTATCACACTCAGTCCTCACAAGGATCCCATACAGCAGTCATTGTTAGTCCCATGTTATACATAGAAACCTAAAGCGTGGAGAGATAACTTGGGTGCCACATTGGATAAGAAGCAGATGTAGGACTTGAACCTAGAAAGTCTAGCTCCAGGGCTTCTCAGAATCATGTACCATCTCCCACGAAGTTGCTCTAGAGGAGAGGGAGAGTGGCCATTGTTACAACCTTCACCAGTGAATGTGGCAGTCAGGAAGGCATCTTGGGGAGATGCCGCCTGGAGCCAGCCTGTTTGCTCAGGAACTTGGGGAATGTGTGGCTTTCCTGCCATCTGGATCCTCGTGGCTTCCCTCCCTTTTCCCACTGTAGCCCAAGATTCTGAGCCCCATCCACATTGCCTCAAGAAGGTAATCCACTGAAACTGGAGCCCCAGGCCCAGGGGAGGCTCTGTACTAGTCTCTAGGTACCCCATCCCAGGTGTCAGAGCCAGGTTGTCACATACACAGGCCAGGATGATGAATTAGAGACTGGCTTCTGGAGCCACCATTTTGGGTCCTGCTGACAGTGTATGAGCAAGAAATAGCAACAAGGACTGAAATGGTGGGGGACGGGAACCCCAGGGAGTGGGGGTAAGCAGGCTGGACTGCCTAGCTAGGACTCTCTGATCTGGAGAATTCCAGGCCCTACCAACCCAGGATAAACTGAGAACAACCTGCCCCTCCTAAAGTGGGAGCAACCCTGTCTGGTTGGGCCTAGGCTCAAGGATGACGCTGGGCACAGCAGCACCAGCCTGCTGCCATCTTCCAGCTAGGACATAAGGTCTACAAAGCCCTGGAGACAGCCAGCAGCCAGCTGGGATTGGGACCAAGTGCCACAGAGAGATGAACAGAGCCAGCCCAGCGGTACCTGCTGTAGAGACAGCCCACATTCCAGCCCCATCTCTTCCTCAGAGTCTCAGTCTGCTCATCTATAAAATAGGAACATGAATCCCTGCCAACAAAACCTGCGTACATTTATGTAGATTATGAACTGCAAAAGAAATGGAAGCTGAAATCCAGTCAGTGGGCAGCTCACCCAGGTGGGGACCCTGACTTGGGGTTCTGTCCACTTAGGAGGAAGGGACACATTTTCCTTCACTAAGCTGGTTGCTAAGGGGTGCTTCTAACTAAAAATGTGTTTTACTTGAAGGGGACACCTTTTCCAATCTGCACAGAGGAGAAGCACTTGCCCTCCAGGAATAGAGCAGGTGACAGAAAGGCAAAAATCCTGTAAGCCCCCAGGAGAAGGTAGAGCTGGTCCTGGAGTATCTTGATAGGGAGCCTGGATAGTTTAAGGGGGCTCATGAGCAATGGTATGTGGGGAGAGGGTGTCAGGTGAACCAGATGTGAGTTACTATATGAAGGTATAACTGGGAACAGGGGCCTGCCAGGATCCACTCTCTTTTTAAAATAATTATCTACCTGGGGCTGGAGAGATGGTTCAGCAGTTAAGACCACTGGCTGCTCTTTCAGAGGACCTGAGTTCGATTCCCAGCAACCACATAGCAGCTAACAACCATCCGTAACTCCAGTTCCAGGGCATCTGATGCCCTCTTCTGGCCTCTGCTGGTACTGTATGACATGGGTGCACTTACACACATGCAGGAAATACACTTATACATAAAAATATAAATATTTTAAAATTCTCTATTTATTTTATGTATATGTTTGCTTGCATGTATGTTTTTGTTTGTTTGTTTGGTTTTTTTTGGTCTTTTTGAGACAGGGTCTCCCTGTAGCCCCAGCTGTCCTGGAACTCACTATGTAGACCAGGCTGGCCTTGAACTCACAGAGATCTGCCTGCCTCTGCTTCCTGAGTGCTGGGATTAAAGGCGTGTGCCACCATGCCCAGCTGCTTGCATGTATGTTAAGTCTATTTGTGTTCAATGCCCATGGAGGCCAGAAGAAGGCATCAGATTCCCTGGAACTGGAGTCACAGATTGTTGTTAGTCATTATGTGGATGCTGGGAACTGAACCCAGGTCCTCTGCAAGATCAGCCAGTAACCCTCACTTCTTACTGAGCCATCTGTCTAGCTCCAGGATATACTCTTTCATGGCCTCTGTAATAGGGCCAAGGGGCAGTGGTGCCAACCCATGGCTGCTGGTCCATGGACCCACAAAACTGTACTTGAAGCTACAGTCACAGCCTGTAGTTTGGGGATCATGGAAGGTCTGATAGAGACAGTTAGAGGATAAGAATGACAAGGCACCAGGCAATTGTAATTTAGAGTTGTAGGCAGGTTCACGAAGGGTGAATGGGTATTTTGGTGGTCAGAGGAAATGCTACCAAGCTTAGGCATGCTGAGAAGGCTTCCCAGAGGAAATAGCTAAACAAAGACCTCAGGGAGAAGCTGGAGTCTGGGTGTGGGATGGGGTGAAAGTCTTATTTGATTAAGTACTGAGAACTAAGACGCTCAGAGAGAAATATTTTATTTCATCAAACTACCTTTGCCTCGGATTCCTGGTGTGTCTCTGCTTTTTTAAGTGTCTGTACTATTAAGTAGTCCTTTTAGGAATGGAGTGTAAATGAAAAGATTGGTTCTAAAAGATATACTGTATTGCTTTGTTTCTTTTGTTTTGTTTGGGACAAGGTCTCACACTAGCCTGAAATCACTTTCCCTTCCCTCTTTCCCTCACTCCTTTTTTTTTTTCTCTTTTGCTTTTTTATAATGAGGCAGGTCTCATGTATCCTAGGCTCACCTTGAGCTCAGTATATCACTGAGGATGACCTTGAACTTCTGGTCCTTCAGAGTTCTGGGATTACAGAGATTGCTACATCATGCCTGATTTAGGTCATGTTAGGGATGGAACCCAGAGCCTCATGTATACTAGGCAAGTATTCTACAACCAAGCTACATCCCCTGGCCTGGAACTTACTATTAGCCTAGCCTGCCGTTGAACTCATTTCTCCTGCCACAAGCCTCCTAAGTGCTGGAACTAAGGCATAAACTACTTTTCCTTGCTGTTTTGTTGTTTATGATGCTAGGACTTGAACCCAGGATCTTGCACATGTAGCTCTATTAGTGAGCTGCACCACCGGGTCCAACAGGCAGTTTTAAAATTAATTTTTAAAAGGCTACAATTTTTTATTATTATATTTATTTGTTTGGCAGAGAGGGTACACCCATGCCACAGTGCACATGTGGAGATCAGAGGCAACTTGTAGGAGTCTGATCTCTCCTTCTACCATGTGGGTCCCAGAGATCAAACTCAGGTCCTTGATGGCAAATGTCTTTATCTGCTGAGTCATCTCACTAGAGCTTTTTTTTTGAACTTTTTTATTATTATTGTTGTTTGTATGGTGTATTGGAAATGCACATGTGCCATGGCACGTGTGTGGAGGTCAGAAGACAACTCTGTGGCATCCGTTCTCTCCTACCTTTAGTGGGTTCTGAGGATTGAACTTAGCTCGTCAGACTTGCACAGCAAGCATTTTTACCTGCTGAGCCATTTCACTGGCCCACAACACTGAATTTTGATTGTGGTTTGGAGAGGATATGACACTTGGATTTGGGTATTTAGCAGACAACGTGGCCCTCTGATGAGGGTATGAAAGGGCACAGAGAGGAAGATGTGCAATCCTCAGCATCACACAGATTCTTCTCTTGAAACTAGAGCAGCATCACTAACTGACCCTGCCTTCCCCTGTAGTTCTCCTAAGCCTCAGGCTCCTTCCTCCTCCAGGCTGCTGAGTCTGAGCTGGCAAGCCACCTGGAAGTCTGTGGTCCTCATGAGAGTAAAGCCACTGTCTCACAAACCATCATATTTATCATGATGAACCTTTTATTAGAGAGACAGACTGAATTTTTCTTCTGTATAAAGAATTTCTGGGTTGGGTCAGGGAACTCCACCTGTTAAAGGTTATCACTCAGCTGGCCCTGCCTCTGCCTCAGTGGAGCCCCCACTTGTTGGTGACATCTCAGGGTCTCTGGAAACAGAGGCTCCCGTCCCCAGGACCAGGCAAGTCAGGTTGGGTCATGCTGGATGGAGGGTTCAGGGCTTCAGGCACTCCCTAAGTCAGAGTCCTGCTGTTTCCCGCCTCAGCCTGTTGTCCAGAACCTGCAGTTGTCGGAGGAAGCCTGAGTTGGGGCAGATGTCTCGGTGGGCCTGCACTGTCTGAATGGCATCTACCAGTGTCATGTTCTTGTAGATCATGAGGAAGGCCAGGACAATGGTGGCAGAGCGGCTTACCCCCATGGCGCAGTGGACCAGCACTCGGCCTGTAGGGAGACCCAAACTAGTATCAGCCACTTGTCCCCTCTCCCATCCCTTCAGTCATAATACCCTGGAAAACCGACTATCCTGCAGTCAGATGGGCCAACTGAGGCTTGAGGTCTCACAGAAATTTAGTGGTAGGGCTAAGGTTAGTAACTGGGCTTCTCTTTTCCTGGTCCAGGGTGTTTCCTCTGATACCCATTGTGACTCTGGGGGACAATTACTAAACTTCTGGGGTGCCCCTGGATTTACATCACAGGGGGCATTCACCTCCTCCCTCTCCCCTCAGTCCTGCCCTCTCCCCTGCCCCTGAAGCCTTGTGCCAGTGCCTCATCTTAGGGGGGAGGGGCTATACAAAAGCCTTTGCTAGGTCTTATGATTTCTATCCAACATCTGTCTCCTACTGAAGGATATGGATATGTTGTTAACCATAGTGGATTAGGTGTGTGTGGGGGGTGAGAAACTGTGCGTGCATTTGTGTAAGTCTGCATGTGGAGACCAGAGGTCAATTTTGAATGCTGCTTATTAGGCATTTTTTACCTTTATTTTTATTTTTGTATTTTATGTATATGAATGTTTTACCTACATTTCTATAAGTGTACCACATGCATGCGGTGTCCATGGAGGTCAGAAGAGGGAGTTGGAGCCCCTGGAACTGGAACTATGGATAGTTGTTAGCCGCCATGTGGGTGCTGGGAACTGAACTCTGCTCCTCTGCAAGAGCATCCAGTGCTCTTAACCATGGAGCCATCTCTCCAGCCCCTTTCCACTTCATTTTTTTTTTTTTTGAGAGTCTCTCTCCCTCACCTGCACTCATGGCTGGCCAATGAGCCTCAGGGGCACTCCTGTTTCTACCTCCCTAATGCTGAACTTCCAAGCATGTATCGCCATCATGTGGGTTCCAGGAATTGAACTCAGGTCCACATGCTTGCATAGTAAGCACTTTACAAACTGAGCCATCTTCCAGCCCCATGCTGCTTCTTAGTTGTGTCTGAAATTGTTAGTTCCCACAGCATACTCACTAAATGGCAGTAGCTATTGGCTCCTTAGAGTGGGAGGGCTGTTGTTGGGATGGGTGCTAAGGACTTCCTACCCTTCAGTGCTACTGGAGAACTGGATACCCCCCCACACCTGCCAAGTCCCTTTCCCAGTAGCTCACTTTGAGGAGCGCTGAGGGCATCTCGGATGTATCGAGCAACAGGCAGAAAGTAGACACTGAGGTCAAAAAAGGGGTTATCATCAGCCTCGATGCCGTAGTACTCCAGAGATGTTCCATGGTAGAACTTGGCACCTGTGTCCACTTGAAACTTGCCTGCAGCAACATTCACAACATGGGTGATGCCCAGCTGGATCAGATGATTCTTGTCTCGGGCAGCATACCTGGAGGAGGAGAAAAGGGATTTTAAGAAGATGGAGATGGATGTCACTCGGTCACCTCTGGCTGGGTTGGAACTTGTCCCTCACCCTACTGTCTCCAAAGGTGGAGACTGGGCCAGTGAACTGCCCTGGTGAAGGCACTCCCCTAGGCCTTTCATTCAGGGAAATCTTTCTGGAGGGAAATTTAGCTACATGTATCAAAAGTCTGAGAAATGTATGTATACTTTGCATAAGCAATTCATCTTCTAGAAACATAATAAAAGGAAGAGCTTTAGGCATGTTGGTGTACCCCTTTAATCCCAGCATTTGGGAGGCAGTTTTAGGTGTCCCTGGGGAACATGGAACATACCCCTGTTGGGTAAAGTGAGCTACTGTATATCTAAATTATGAAATACCATGAATCACTAAAATGTGGCAGATGAGGTAAACAAGCAGAGATGTTTCTGTTATATCAAGAACCTGTGAAAATACAGGATATAAAGCAGAATGTAGTAACAATTTTAAAATATGCAGTGATTCATTTAAAATGCTTTTTATATAAAGCATCTCATAAAACAGCATTATGAAGTGAGATTATCTTTGCCAAAAACATCACTGTAAAAAAGCTTGTACGTATAAAAGTCTACAAGGATTTTATCTGTGTGGAAGGAGGAATACTATACTAGTCATATAGCTAGCCAGATGTTAATCTGTACTTTAATCTTAAATACTAAGGAAAATTTCTCAATTCTCTGTATTTGGTCTATATTTTCTAAAATTTAGGAAAACTTTTAGGAAAAAAATAACAATTCTGCTATCACACATATCCACCCTTGAGAAACTCATATGGTTTCCTAGGATACCTCTACTTAAACATTTCTGGGATCACTGTTTATAATAGTAAAAAAGTGGAAGCAGTGCAAACAGAGAATGTGCAGTTTAATCATACAGTGGAATATTGTACAATAACAAGGTTGACCTACAGCTATACAGAACAAATAGGTATCTCACAATTTTAAGCAGATGATGCCAGCCATGAAATACACACAGTATGGGCTGGGGCAATAGATAGATGGTGGGTAAAGTCCTTGCAACAAGCATGAGGACCTGAGTTTAGTACCCATCTCCCATGTAAAAGCCAGATGTGCTAGTATACATCTCTAACCCCAGTGCTCATGGGCCAGTTAGCCTGGTCTGGTACATGCATCCGTGAACAACACATTCTTTAAATAAGGTGGAAGATGAGGACCAGTGCCTGGGGTTGTCCTCTGACCTCCACACATCTACTGTGGCATGTGTGCACCTATACTCACACACATGAACACATGCATGCATGCATTCATGCACACACACAAACTTTTTTTGTGTGTGTGTCTTTTTTTTTTTGAGGCAGGGTCTCCCTGTGGTCCCAGCTGTCCTGGAACTCACTATGTAGACCAAGCTGGCCTTGAACTCACAAAGACCCGCCTGCCTCTGCCTCACAAGTGCTGGGATTAAAGGTGTGTACCACCACACCCTGCACACACAAGGTTTTTAAGAAGACAATATGATTTCACTCATATAACTTTAAAAGCCAGGCAAAAGGCAGATCTATGTCATTTAGGTACATAGGTGGTAAAACTTGAAAGAACAAAGAAATAATGATTTTTGAAGTGGGAGCACATTGGGATCATATTAAGTGAAATAACACAGACCCAGAAAGACAAGTATCACGTTTTCTCTCACCTGTGAGTCTTAGATTTTATATCAATACAAACTTTTTTTAATTTATTTTAAAAAATATTTTATTATTTTTATTTCCAGCGTGGCCATGGCTGCTAATGCTACCACTAATCCCTCACAGCTCCTGTCTCTAGAGCTTGTGGACAAGTGTATAGGATGACAAATTCACATTGTGATGAAGAGTGATAAGAAATTGTCAGCACACTTCTAGGATTTGATGACTTTGTCAGTGGTGCTGAAAGGTGTCACAGAGTTTGAAATTATGCCAGAAGGAAGAAGGATCACTAAATTAGATCAGATTTTGCTAAATGGAAATAGTATAACAATGCTGGTTCCTAGAGAAGGGCTTGAAGTATGAATGGATTTCCTTGATTCTGTTTCTTTTACCTTTAATGTTTAGACTCAGTAATGCTGTTTCCCATTAAAGGGAAATACTTTGAAGATGTACACCCATTTTTCTAACCTAATCATGGTTATTTGAAAAAAGTTTGTGTTTTTTAAAAACTAAAAAAATTAAACGTTTTTGGCTAACTAAAAAAAAAATATTTTATTATTTTTATTTTATGTGTATGAGTGAAATGTCTGCATGTAGGTAGGGGAACCCATGTCATGTAGTGCCTGAGGAGGTCAGAAACGGGCATCGAACACCCTGGAACTGGGGTTAACAACAGTTGTTAGCTGTCATGTGGGTGCTGGGAATCGAACCCAGGTTCTCTGCAAGAGCAGCCACTCTTAACCACTGAGTTATCTCTCCAGCCCCTTAAGATTTATTTTTCTTTTAATTTAATTTAATTATTTTGAGACAGGGCCTCTCTGTAGCCCCACCTGGCATGAACTCCCTATGTAGACCAGGCTGGCCTTGAACTCACAGAGATCTACCTGCCTCTGCCTCCCAAGTGCTCTGATTAAAGGTATGTGCCACCACGGCTGGTTTTATTTTTAATTTTTATGTACAAGTGTGTTTCTGTGTGTAGGTATGGTGCATGTGTGAGTGCAGGTGCACATGGAAGCCAGAAGAAGGGGTCAGATCCTCTGGAGCTGGTGTTACAGGTGGTTGTGAACCACCTGATATGGGTGCTTGGACCAAACTCAGGTCCTCTGGAAGAGCAGTTAGTGCCCTTGACCACTGAGCCCTCTCTCCAGTTCCCATAAAACAATTTATATATGTACCTATGTATGATATGGAAACAATGGAAGGTTATCTGGGAAGGAAGGGCACTAGCAGGAGGGCAAGAAAAGGGAAAGCACAGGACAGCTAATGAAGTCAAAATACATGAGATACTTGAAGGAAAATCTATCATATTTCCATCACTATGTATTATAAACATATACCAATTAAAAACAACACGGGGGGGGCAGCTGGAGAGATGCTCAGCAGTTAAGAGCATTGGTTGCTCTTGCAGAAGACAAATTCCAGCACCCATATGACAGCTAACAACCACCTGTAACTCTAGTTCCAGGGGCTCTGACACCCTCTTCTGGTCCCCATGGGCACTGTACAACACCAGTACACTTAAATATATGCAGGCATAACACTCATACTATGCAAAAATTTTTTTTTTAATTTTAAAATGTAAACTTTAAAAAAAAATAACATTTAGAGGCTAAATTTGTAGAATGCCTGCGTAAGCATGCAGGTTGAATCCCCATCATAAAACAGGCACGATTATGTATGCCTGTAATTCCAGCACCTGGGAGGTAGAGACCGGAGGGCTACAAGTTCAAGACATCTTTGGCTACATAAGGAGTTGTTTGAGGCCATCCTAGAATCTGTGAGATTATGTCTCAAAAAAAAAAAAAAAAAAAGATTTTGACACTTAAAGTGTGGCTATCCATTGGGAAGGGGTCTTTTGAGGGGGGTACAGTTTCCTATTTCAGGGCCTGAGAGATGAAATTGTTCATATGTGGAAAGCAATGGTGGGAGGAAGTCAATGGTGGAGGGCTCTGCGCCATCCTTATTCTGCACTGCTGTGTGTATCTCACACCCTTCTGCCACCCCCAGTCCCTGCCCGGATCTTACTTACGCATCTCCCAAGAAGAGGTTGGGCCAGACCTCATTGATGTGGTTCAGCGTGGCAGCCCTACGGACCCACAGTAAGCGCTGCAGCGAGGCCAGTGTGGGTGGCTGGTAGGGGGGCACCTGGACCACTCCATGGATCTTTGGTCTCCGGAGGTCCTGCTTCTGCAGTGAGTCCATCCTGGAAGAGAGTGGACACAGTAGCGGCTGGAGCAGGCTCCCAGAGGGCACATCCAGGACAGGGAGGCCCTGTGACAGCACCCAGGAGCCACTGGGATGCTCTGGGAAGGACCCTGGTTATGCTGGATAAGGCTATTAACTCACTCTGGTGGACTGGAACCTAGAACCCTTCCCCTGGGAACAGGGAGAACTAGAACTCCCTTGTCACTGCCATGGCACTAGACAGACCTACTCTTCCCTGAGGCTACAGAAATTTAGGCCTTGGGACCTTGAGGCTCTGTTTTCTGTAGCACTAATCAGTGAAGATCCCACCCTTTAAGTCACTGGAAACCCCAGCTGGCTGAGGCTCTCAGAAGGACACCAGGATGCCCTCCCCACACCAACCTGGGCAGTTGGTTTTCAACCCCACCCCTGCTGTTTTTAGGGCTGGCCCCCAATCCTTCCCCACCCACTTCAGGTGCTTGGGGTCAGAGCCCTGTCCAGGGTCAGAGCCCAGTTATGAACATTCCTCAGCTTTTTCACACCAAGTGAGCTGGTGCCTCTCATATGCAGAATGTATCCCTGTAGTATGTCCTGTTTCACATGGAGGAATGCTGAAGTTCGTGGTGTTTGTTCAGTGACACCCAAAGCCTAATGAGCAAGGCTAGGGTTGCTGCCTGGTTCTGTGTGCCTTCAATTCTGTCCCCAAGTCTTTTGGTTGCCAGGGAGTGATCACCAATTCTATGTCTCCTAAGAGGAGCCTGGCAGGGCTGAGCTACACATCTGCCTACAGGCCAGGCTTTTTCTTCTTACCCCTGAGACTTTTCCTTCTTACCTCCGAGACTCAGGCCAGTGCGGCTGGGCAGGCCTCACCAGGATGGAGTGGACTGTGTCTGGAGTAGGTTGGCTCAGGCCATTCGAGACCCTGCAGAACTGTGGTGTCAGGGGCACCAGAACCCTGGCCTGGTGCCATGATGGGAAGTGGGGCCTATTTTGGCCAACTGTCCCTGGTTCCCTCAAGGAGTAACTAGAGAAGGTGTAAACTGGGTAGAACATCTTTTCCCTCCTGTAGGCAGTGCCGAAAGAAATAGGCACCCAGGAGGCCACTGGCTTGGCCAAGCTCACCCAGAGGGTGGATGGGGGGCAGGGCGGAAATGAGGACCAGGCCTTCTCCCTCATCCCCCACGGTGACCTCTCAGGGCAGGCTCAGTGGCCTGCCACCTACCTAGGGCATGGTCTGGGGCCAGGAATGGGGGACTAGGTGCAGGAGCAGGACTCTGCATGTCTGCGGAACAGGTCTGAGGTAGGTTCCGCCCAGAACACAAATGCTGTGAAGCACTTAGAATTCCAGGTCCAGGCCTAGGAGCCTATGGGGGTGGGGCTGAGGGCAGACTAGGCCACTGTGGACTGAAGCAGAGACGTTTCCTCTCTCCTTGGTTTCTCTGGGATTGAAAGCTCTTGTCCCTATAACAACCCTGAAGATGGGGGCCAGGGGGTCACCTCAGTGGTGGCTAGAGAACTGACTCCCCTTGAAATTTGGTTGAAACCCAGTCTGTGGCCTGAGGAAGTCTTTGTCCTGCCTGGGCCATAGTTTCTCATGTCAAAGGCTGCCAGACTTCCTTGGAGTCTCTGGTGTTCTGTCAGCAGCAAGAGAAAGGATTGAGTATATATGAAAGTAACATGAGGGCAGGGAATATTGGGGTAGAGGAGGCCCTGAATCCATGGAGTCCAACAGCCACTCTGGCCTGGAGCCATCAAGGTACAGTGCTCCAGATCTGGGAGAAACCAGACAAGGACCTGGGAAAACAGCAGGCCCTTGCCCGGCTCTTATTGAGCTTGGCGTAGGGTAAGGCTGCTCCCTGGTGGTCAGTGGCTGCCATGCAACCCCAACTGTGCCAAAGGAGCAGTCAGGCTGTGAGAGCTGGGTCAGGGACTAGGCTGTTTAGACATACATGGCCCAGGCCTCAGCTTCCCAGGAGGTCTAACCCAGGTGTAGAGAAAAGTTTTTTTCTTTGACCTTGTTTTCTACTGGTCATCTCCCATGTAAGGCCTTGCTCTTGTACTCAGGGTATAGCCTAGCTGTCTGCTCTGGTCCACTTAGAGCTCCTCCCATCTGTCAGTCAGAACCAGGCCCAGCAGCCCACCCAGTGACCCATCCTTGAATCTCCCGGCACACTCAAAGAAAGGGAGTCCAGGGACATAGCTCCCTTGCTTTGGACTACCCCCAGCCTTTCTAGGGAAGGCCTTGCTGGAAACCGGCTTCTGTCTCCTCAGCCACAGTAGGGTGAAACACGGCTGAGTGTCTGTAGGGCCAGGCTCCCTCCACACTCATGCCAGCCCTCATCCTGCTCCCTAGCTCCACCTGGCCTCTGCTCTTCTCTGGCCTCAGCTGAGCAGCTGCCTGTGTGGGCCACAGTTTTCCTTCCCCTTCTCCGCTGTTTACAGGGGTGTCCACTTGCTTTCTCTTGGCACTAGTATCTCTCCTCTGTAACCTGCTCTCTGTTTGCCTGTCTTCCTCCTTCCTCTGGGGACCACAGAACATCACCCTGTATGCCTGGCATGCTCAGGTCTAACCCAGCCAAACAGGGCAGCTGTTTGCTGTTCACCTCTTCAGCTGTGGTTCCAGGAAACATTCCTCGTCTCCCCTGATGACCCCTCTCTGCCTCCTCTTCCCCAGGGGGGACATGGGCTAAGTGGGTGGGAGTTCTTAGACCAGGACAGTGAGGAATATGGGGAATGGGGCCTTGGGAACCACGGCAGGCAGGTGTCGGGGTGGGCTGTAGTGGTTTCTCTCCAGTATGCAGCCCTAGAGGGAGACAGACCTGGGTGGAATTCTCTGAGCCACTATCTTCATTAGGGCTAGTGGGAGTATTCCATGAAATTATAAATGTAAAGCGCTTCCTAGAGGGTCATGGTAGATGCCTCATAAACTATGCATCTTGTTATTGTATTAGTACCACTACAATCACTCTTACTCTTGTCAGTCTCATCTGTATCCTAAGTAGAGGGTAACTTTCTATGGGTGATGACATTACAACTGGAACTTTGTGTTTCTGTTTATTCAGCAGCAATGATTACATTTATTACTTAAGGAAAGACTGTTCTATACCAGACAAAGTTCAGTACTTACATTGCCCATTGAATCCTCCCAGGGCTCTTACAAAGCAGGTAGTATCATCGTCCTCACTTTACAGATGAGGAAACTGAGGCTCAGAGATATTAAGCAGTGTGCCCACAGTCACCCAGTTGTGGGAACTAGAACTCAAGCCCAGATCTTGCCTCTCTTTTCTCTGCGCTTCTGTCTCTGACCCATTTGGATCCTTCAACCCAGTCCTCACACTTGCCCAACACACATAGGTGCCCTGGCCCCCGTTACCCAGCATGCATAGGGACCCTTGAATTAAGGCCACTCACCCACCTGTATCCAGCCCAGGCTGCGGTCTTCTCTGACAGGCAGTTTGTGCTGCCGGCTTCCAGCCGCCTGTCTCTGCACACTTGATGCTGTTTCTATTTTTTGATTTGAGTTTAATTATAAAGCTGTCTGCTCCCTTCTGGCCTCCCCTTGCCACTCCCAGCTTGCCCATTGGTCCCATGGCATGGTCACCACCAAGCCTAGCCAGACACTTTCTCCAAGGTCTAGGCCTCAGCCTTTGTATTAGCCACAGAGGCAGCACAGAGGGGCCACTTGTGGTGTGTGTGCATCAATGTATGTAGGCAGCTGAGCAGGGAGAAGGAAGATCAAATAAATCATCTTAAAAATTCCCTGTAAAGGGGCTGGTGAGATGGCTCAGTGGGTAAGGGTGTTTGTTGCCAAGTCTGATGACCTTAGTTTGATCCCCAGAATGGTAGAAGGAGAGAACAGACTCCTGAAACTTGTCCTCTGACCTCTACACAGACGCACCATGGCATGGGCACACATGAATACACGTGCAGAATAAATAAGTGTAAAAAATGTTTTTAAATTCCCTATAGAGGTGCATGCCTTTGATCCCAGTACTTAGGAGGATCTCTGAGAGTGTGAGGCCAATCTGGTCTACAATAGTGAGTTCCAGACCATCCAGGGCTACACAGTCTCAAAAAATAAATTTTCCTTTAGAGATTGGGTGTGTCACTCAGTGGTAAAGCATTTGTCTAGGATGCATGAGGCCCTGGGCCACATCCCAGAACTGCCCCAAACAAACAACATCATCATCAACAAGAAACCCAAAACTCCCTTGGCTTTCAAGGGTCACCTAGAACTAGGGTAGAAGGCGAGAGCTGAAAGGGTCTATGCAAGAGAACAGAGGCAACACTGACTCAAGAGTGCGCATGCACGCACATACACACACTGGTAGCATGGTGCACACCAGTGCCTAGGTCAGAGGCTTTATTTGGGGCCTGGATTAAGATCTGGCACATTCAGGTTCAGGGAGATGACAGCACAGGCAGACAGGATATTAGTGAGGTACAGGGAGGCATTGTAGACCTGCCTTATTCTGCAATCAGAGACTTAGTACAGGAGCTGTCCTACCCTCCACTGCCCTCTCCTTCCCTCAAAGATAGGGATGCCCAGGGATATGCCTGACCAAAGCCCTACTGTCCCATAAGACTAGTGGCATGGTCTTTCAGGTCCCAAGGCTGACTGTGGTCAGCTAGAGGCCTTGGATTTGAGATTAGACACTCTCCTTGTAATTCAAAGGCCCTCAACATATACCCATACTGTAATACTCCCTAGCCCTACTCCTGGATATAACACACACACACACACACACACACACACACACACACACACACAGACACCCCCTCAGCCACATGTCCACTGTGCTCCCAGGAACTAGGACTTAATGTCTACTGAGCCTCAGGGAAAGCTAGAGAGAATAAATATTTCAAATCTTCCTCTCTGACTCTCATCAGGAATTTGGGGTTTCTGGTTCCTGGCCAAGGAGCCTTAGGGCTTTGCTACAGGACAGCACACTCCCACCTGTGGAGACTGCAGACAGTGGCTGAGAGGGGATGTAGTTCACTGGATGACAAACCTGATGGAGCAGTGGGTTTGAGGGTGAGCCCCGCACTGGGTTCTTCCCATCTTCTGGGCATCCACATGAGTTACAGCCACCATGAGGGTCAGGGCCAGAGTAGCAAAGTGACAGAATCCTGTGGCAGAGAATAAGGACCGACTCTGGAGAAGAGAGAAACTTCATGTTACAACCAAGGCCAAGATTGATTGGGACTTGTTAGGGCAGGAGTAAGGGCAGTCACCTAAATTTGCTTCATCCTTGAGTCCTGTGTATAAGGTTGAGTGGATACAGGTGCAAGGACAGATAGGGTAGGTTTCACATCCATGGCTTACAGAGAGAGGTGGCCTCTCTCTATAGTCCCCTCAGCTCCTGGGGCCTCACCCCCAGGGTTGTGGGGTACAGTTGTACAAGCTATGCACTGCAGATCTCTGTGGGCTCTTGTGACAGACAATTTCATGGATGTCACTTCCACAAATTGTGCAATGATGCAGCCGTGTTTAACCAACTTCTCCAAAGCCAGCTGACTGATAGAGACGATGCCAAGGTCAGAGGTCAGGGTGTGTAAGGCTCTAGGCTAAGGCTCTAGGCTAAGGCAGTAGAGTGACTGGGCATGATTCCAAATCTGCTACTCTGCCAAGTTTCTCAACACTGTCTAGAAGATGGAGAGAAGGCTGGGAACCTGCCATCTGCATGGGGAACATGTCCTGAACCTCTTGGTTGCTAATATCACAGGGCTTCATAAAAGGTGTGGGACAGCCTAGCCTGGCTATGCTGCTGCTCAAGGATTCAGTGAGTGCCATAGGCTCTCAGAAGAGGTAGGGTGGTGCTCAAAAGCAGGAAGGAAGACCTTACCTCCTTTCTGTAATGCTTCCTGACCCCTTCGTTCCCCATCTTTCTCTGTTAAAAAAATCTATGTGTGTGCATGTGTACCTGTGCATTCATGTGTTTGAACGTGATATGTGAGTGCCACCGTGTGTGTGTGTGTGTGTGTGTGTGTGTGTGTGTGTGTGTGTAGGTTAGAGGACAACTCCAGGTGTCAATCCACACCTTCAACTTTGTATGAAACTTGTATGAAACAGGGTCTCTTGTTTTGTTTTGTTTCCTGCTGCATATGTCAGGCTGGCCCATTGGCTTCCATGAGTTCTCCTGTCTGTCTGTCATCTCTCCATGTCCCACTGCATCCAGCTTTATGTGGGTTCCGGGGATTTGAACTCAGGTCCTCATGCTTTATTGCAAATGCTTTACCTACTCTCTAGCGCCTCACTTTTCTCTTTTCTCTGGGGTCTAAAGCTTTCAGGTGGGCTGGGAGAGAGGACAGGGATCTCACAAGAGGATTGTCTGCCAGGCCCTGATGAGATCTTGGATGAGCAAAGGGAACCAGCTACATTTAACCCTGCTAGCCAACCTCATCCCATGTCCCCTGTGTAGGCCTTTAGCTGATTGCTAAACCACACCCAGCTTTGCCCCCTTGCCCTCCTTCACCTGGCCCCTCAACTCCGACTTGCACCCCGAAGTTGCTGGTCCAGCTGGCAGAGCTGGCGGAGGAAGCCGCGGTTGGGGAAGATCCATCGGCGCTCTCTCAAAGTGATCACTGCCTGATGCAAGGAGAGCTGCTGGTGGAGCATGAGGTAGGCCAGGACCAGTGTGGCAGAGCGGCTCACACCCACCACACAATGCACCAGGACCTTGGCTGAGGAAGACATCCTGGTGAAAATTCCCTTCCCATCATCCAGTCCACCCAAAGGATGAGGTGGAAACCCAAATTCCATTCCCTGACTTGCCTTGGGTGTACTATGGGACCATGGGCTAGTCCCTCAGCCCTTATGGACCTCAGTTTCCTGATCTTTCAAATGAGTAGACCAACATCTGTCTTTGCCAAGTCTTGGGATAATGTCCAAATCCTCAACATGACTTATGAAAGCCTAGAGGAGTTAGCCCTTCCTGATCCTATGCATCATGTCAAACAGACCCACCCTAACCCTCAGCTTTAAGAATACAAGCTAACTTTCAGTTCTTTGAAACTGTCATAGCCACTGACCTTCAACCTTAGATATGAATTCCTACTGCCTGCAAAATGTTTGCTCTTGCCTTATCTGACTAACTTCTACTCATCCATCAAGTTCCACTGGAGATGTGGCTTTCTCTATCATCTTAGTGTCACTTGAATCACAGAGCAATTCACTGGTTCTGCATGTGACCGAGTGGAAACTGCTGTAGAGGGAAGTCCCTCGCACCATGATCCTCTGGGCTGCGTGTTTCCGTGGCTCTTTACATTTGCCCTCTCCTATCAGTAGCACTCAAAGTACATCATTATTTGATTAGCAAGTTTCACAAGAGCAGGGACCTTGACGTGTTTAAGTCTAGCTTCCCAGTATTTAGTTAGTGCCTGACACTGAGCAGATAACAAATAGCTGATGGATGAATAGATGGACAAAAGAATGTCAAAGTGCTTTGGCTGCTATGAGGTAACATGAGCCTTGCTGTTCTCATCACAGAAATGAGGAAACTGAAGGTCAGAGAGGGACACCGGCTTGCTCAGGGTCACAAAGCAGAGGGGCATGGCTCTTTCCCCAGGCGAACCACAGTAAGGACTCTAGTTTCTTGAGGCCTTCTGGTTGCAGCCTGGGTTGTTTTCATTTTTCTTTTTCATTTGGAAGTACTTTGAGGCAGACCTCTGGGTACCCAAAGACACTTTCCCAGGGCTGCCTATGGCAAAGAAAGAATTGTTCTTAAGTTTGGGAGACCTGGTTTCCAGCCCCATGGGGGCTCGGAGCCCATTATGGCCTCGTGTTTTGGTCTTACTTTCTCCATCTGTGAAGCAATGTCCTCAGCTAAAATGCTAAGACACTGAGCAGAGTATTTTTTGAAAAGCCAGGATGGGAGGATGCTGAGGATTGAAGGAGGTGGGACATCCTCCCCTCCAGTGAGCTGAGTGGGATGTGGGGCTTCAGCCCCAAGGCCTACCCCCAGGTGTGTTGAGGGCACAGTGGATGAAGTCAGCTGCCTGGGAGAAGTAGGTGCTGATATTGAAATCAGGGAGGTCGTGGGCTGGCACCCCCAAGTAGCTCACGCTGCTGCCGTAGAAGTCAGGGCCACCCTGACAGTAGAGTCCTCCGTGGGCAGCGTTCAGTACATGGGTGATGCCCAACTTCCACAGCTCAAAGCGGTTATTTGCGGTGGCCCTGGGAAGGACGGAAGAAAGGGTCCAAAGGGGAGCGAGAATTCAGCAACACCAAGCTGGATTTGCAGTTCCCAGCCATAGCCTCAGACCTTTCTGGGGGAGAGTTGGTGGTTTAGGCCCTCTTTGCTTCCTCAGGTAGCCTGCCCCTAGCAGGGGCAGGAAGGAAGTGATTGCTTCAGTCCTGGGAACTAGCTGCCCCTCCCTTCTTGCCATATGTCCTACTCATATCCCACATCCAGAGTGTCTTGGTCCCCACGTCATACCTGCTACTAATCTGCAAATATGTAGAGATGACACCTACCCTGATTCACCCTTGGTCAGGCTCCTCCACCCACTTTGTGTCTAGAGGACGCAAGCTGGGACCAGAATGTTATTGCCTCTCAGACTGGCTAGTTGTCTGGAATGTGCCAGAAGACTCCAGGGCTCTTCCAGGAAGGAATGCCCCCCCACCCCCCAATAAACCTCCTCAGAAACAAAAACAAAACACTCCTGCTCTGCCTGGTGGTCGAAACTGGTTATTGCATTACTCCTGGCACTTGGGAATCTAGAGAAAATTCCTGGGGGCGGGGGTGGGGCGCCCATAGTAGACTTTGTTCCCTCCCGCCGCCTTTTCCGGGAAAGAGCTCTAGGACTGCTTCTCCTGGACCCCACTCCCACAACCCTCCATCAGCAGCCACTCACGCATCTCCTATGAAAAGATTGGGCCAAACTTCGTCCACGCGGCTGCAAGACGCCCTCCCGGCCCTTAGGAGCTCCTCCAGCTGCAGAACACTGGGGCAAGGTGTGGCTTCCGCATCTCCCTGCAGCGCCAGGAGTGAAGCCTCAGCCATGGGCCAGCTCGCCCACCCCTCTTCCTCTGGGGTCAGGTCACTCTGTTCTCCAGTGTCATGTGTGCTTCCCAGAGACTGGCAGGGACAGGTGGGACAAGGAGTGACTCAGCAAGTCTCCAGGGCCTTAGAGAGGTCAAGACCTGGTTCTCTCCAGCCAGCCCCTATCCCTAAAGTCCCCAAGAGCATGGAATCAGGTCCCTGCAAGGCACTACCTCCCTCGATCTCAGTTTCTTCATCTGTAAAGTTAAGGGTTTACCTGCCCCAAAGAATTATTGCAAGGGCTAAACAAAAGATACTTTGAAATAGTTGAACTAAACAAAACAAAAGATGCTTTGAAATAGTTGAACTAATAGGTTTAGAGTCCTTGTGTTGGCTATTTGATTTTGAAGACTCGAGTTAAAGCAGAGATCTGGAGTATAAGAAGGTAGCTGATTCCCAGTGATGAATGACAGAAAACACTTCCAGGTTTCAGTGAGCCCCAAATGAGAGGGGAGCCCAATGTCTGTTGGACAGAACCTCTGGACTGTGAAACACAGGGGTACTTTTCTGAGTTGTGGGGTCTGAGAAACCCAAGCAGACATGGAGCAACACATCTAAAGTGTGTTCACAAGGTTTACAGGGAAAGGTTTGAACAATGGTCCTGTAATGAAGATGGATGGTTTCTCAAAAGAGAAACTTGAAGGGTCTTGCTTGTCAAAGAGAGGTCAGCATTGTTGAGAACCACAGTGTCTGGAATCAGAAATATTTTTAAAAAATTTCTTTTTTTTTGATGGATATGTGGAAACTTTAATTGAATTATTCATCAGAATTCATCCTACACAGAATAGATAAAACATTTCTTTTTTTAAAAACAGGGTCTCAAGCCTGGCGTTGTAGCCCATGCCTTTAATCCCAGCACTTGGGAGGCAGAGGCAGGCAGAGATCTGTGAGTTCAAGGCCAGCCTGGTCTACCTAGCAAGCTCCAGGCCAGCTGAGGCTACAGGGAGACCCTGTCTCAAAACAGCAACAATAGCAACAACAACGAAACCCCACTACCACCACCACCAACAACAAAAAAACCAACAGGGTCTCACTATGTAGCTCTGGCTGACTTGAAACTTGCTATGTGCAGGCTGGCCTCAAATTCACATAAATCTGCCTGCCTTTGCTGTCCCAGTGCAGAGATTAATGGCATATGCAACCATGCCTGGCTAAGACTGGTCACTTTTCATCTTTTTGATTGTGAGTCTAACCCTTAACAGCTGTGCCAGCTCTCCAGCCTGCTTTATCACTGTTTATGTGTGCCTGTCTGCTTGTCTGTATGTGTACCATGTGGATGCAGTACCCACTGAGGTCAGAAGAAGGTGATGGATTCTTTGGAAATGGAGTTACAGGTGGTTGTGAGCTACCATGTAGTGCTGGGAACCAAACCAGGGTCATCTGCAAGAACAGCCAATATTCTTAATTGCTGAGCCACCTCTCTACCCCTATCAGAAATATTTTGAGGGTGTATGGGGGTGTAGTGGCACTCACCTTTAATCCTAGCACAGGGGGGTTTGAGGCCAGCCTGGTCTACATAGAGAGTTCCAGGTGTGCCCATGCTACGTGGTCAGACCAGCTCAAAAACTAAAACAGGGAGGAAGGAAGGGAGGGAGGGAGGGAAGGGGGGGGAGAGAGAGAGAGAGAGAGAGAGAGAGAGAGAGAAACATTTTTAGGATGAGAGAGTCCTCTGCATACAAGGACTTTTGGCAGGACTGGAGACTAAGATAAGGTCACTCTGTCCTTCTGCTAGAGTTGGTTTTCAGCAAAGGAGATGAGATGTCCTGCCCTGTCTCATGCAACTTCATGGTGACCCTGATGAGGCTCAGAAGGGTATGGGTGCAGTGGGCAGAGTCCTGGCTACCCCTGGTCTTCGAGTCTAGCAATCTAGCTTGAAGGGAAAGACCACACCAAAGCACCCCCTGGAAGCAGTCTGCCTCCTGTCCACCTCAGAACCTGAATCCCATTCAGAGCCACCAAAGCTAGTCCTGCTTTGTTTAGAGAAGCAAAGTCAAAGAGGGGTGAAAAGCCAGGCTGTGCTCTTGGTGTCTGCCAATGCTAGGCTTAGGTTGGGACGGGGCCTGCCATTACTGTGGGGTACATGAGTAGCATGAGAACACAGCTTTGATGACAGCTTTGTATTGGAGCACCGGCTTGCTCAAATCCTAACTAGGCTAGGTCAGGCAATGTCTCTTGGCCTTTGTGCGATGTGTGATCTACTTTGTAGCGTTGAAACAAGGGGTTCAGATGTTTATACGGTATCTAGCGTAGACGCTGTCGAAGTAAAGGAGCAGTAAAGGATGTTTTGGGGGATTGGCTCTTGAAGAGGAGCCAGCCCCTTTCAAATGAATCAAAATACCTTCCTCCTGGCTACCAAACCCGCAGTCACGCCCCATCCGCAAGACCCAACGCCCGCTTGGGGGCTGACGCATGCGCTCTCTGCCGGCCCCCTCGGCTCTCCCAGCCGGCGGTCAGGAGCTCCGCTTCCCTTCCGGTCTTGGCCCCGCCCCCTTGCCGGTAGCGCACTGCCTGCCGCCGGGAGGGCCCCGCATCCCGAAGCAGTTCCGGTTCGGCCGGCAGCAGCTGGCGGCGCGGACGGGGCCGGAGGGATGCCCGCGCGTCTCCGAACCGGCTCCCGCCGGCGCTCCGACTCCCCGCTCCGGGCTCCGCCTCCGCCGCTCCAGGCGCTGCGCTCGGCCGAGGCGCCCAGGGCCCGGGACTCTGACGGCGCCTCGGACGCCGACGCGGAGCTGGGTCCCGGGACCTCGGGTCCCACCGCGGAGGTGAGCGGGCGGCGAGGCTGAGAGGGGAGATTGGGGGGCGCCTGCAGTCGAGGGTGAGTGGGGAGCGCGGGGAGACCGTTGGGTGGGCCCCGGAGGCCGCCATGGAATGGAATCCGGAGGCCGAGGAGGCGGTTGAGCTGACGGCCCCGGGGTCCGTGGGCGGCGGGAGAGCTGCCGGGGCCCGGAATCTGGACCCCGGGGAGGCGATGCCCTGGGCGGCGACAGTGGAGATGAGGGATGGGGAAAGCCAGACCCCGGGAAGCCCAGGGCCCGGCGATGCCGCCGGGTGGGGACTGATGGTACCTGACTTGGGTGCGAAGGGTGGCTCTGCAGAGAGGGAGGGGCTGCGGGTGGAATGTTACCTGGCCTGAAGGGCCGAGGGAGCGGAGAAGGAGAATAGACTCAGCAAAGAAAAAGAGCCCTTGGGGAATCTCATTTTAGGGCCTTCGCTGTGTTTTTACAGGTGGTGTCTTTCAGGCCAGTCACAGATGACTGGGGTGGTGGACCTGGACCTGGGTGCTTGCTTGTTTGAGAACAGTGGGTCCTTTTAAGAATCTGGACTCTTAAAAGGATGCATCACTAATTTGCTCACCGGATTGGGGGAAGTTGCTGGAGGAGGAAGTGATGTTTGAAGAAGGTAGTAAGGGGAGTGAGTGATTCTGAAAATAAACATGTCATTCAGATTTCTTTTGACGCGAATGGCTTATTTTTCTTTGTGCTTCGTTCTTAAGTTTAGACATCAGGCGGACTTAAATCCTGAAAAGTGATTTAATCCATTACCTTTAAAAAATTAAACTCGAAAGAGGAATTTAGACGCTTGGGTTTTGCAGGTACTCAGTGCCAGTTGGTAACACTTTTTAATGTTGACTGGAAATATGGTCAGTGGAAGTTTCTGGATTAATAGGGTACATAAGACAGGTGGGAACACCACAGCCCAGGAACCCACCAGATCTCAGTGGTAACACCTTCCTCAGGTTATCTCTAAAAAGTGGGAAGGGTACTTTCGGCAGATTTCTAGTGTTATTTTGCAAATTTCATCCGAATGTTATTAGTAATCTCGAAAAATAAGGGTGGTAGGGTAGGGGATGGTTGTAGTTGGCGGCTAACAACAGGAATAGGTGAGTACACGTGTTTTATGGAAGACATCAAAACCATAATTGTGCCAGTGAAGTATTGATTGCAAAATTTGTGTTCACTTTAATAGGAATAAGATAAATGGTAACCTGACTCAGTAAAGCCTTTTGACTTTTTAGCTGTGTCTTGTGTTTTATTTTACTTTTGCATCTTTTTTTTTTTGAGACAGGGTCCCACTGACTGGCATGAAACTTGTCATATAGACCAGGCTGTGTCACCACACCTGGCTCACTTTTGCATCTTTTTAATTTATTGATTATGCAGTTATTGGCCATTTCAAAAGGAAATTTTAGGTTTTTTTTTAGACTCCAGACAAGCCACTACTACGTAATCTTCATGAGATAATTTAGTGATTGCAACAAGCTTTCAAATGTGAATGGAACATAATTTCATACCTTCAAATGCTCAGTGGAATAGTAATTTCTTTGAAGAGGAGGTGAATTCTTAGCTTTGTTCTTTTGAGGTTGTCAGAAGATGGACTTCCTTAATAAACAATAATGGTCTTTAGTTGCAGGATTTTATATAGAATGACTGTTTATACTTTGGCTTTCCCTCAATGGATTGAAAATTTTTAAAGAACTTGTAAATTGATTTCATTTTTAGCTTTTTTTTTTTTTTTTTTTTTTTTAAACAGTCTTGCTGTGTAGCACAGGCTAGTCTCTAACTCCTGATTCTCCTGGTGCTGGGATTACAGGCATGCACCATTTTACCTGGCCAAATTTAGCTCTGAATAAAAAGTCTTGACATCTAAAAAATTGCTGAACTGACTGCGCCCCCTATTAAGGTTACTTAATGTTACTGAAGAATTAAAGGAACTGTTAGCTGGAGCTATACAGTTAGTAGGCTGGCGTGCTAGTGATGGTTGTAATTTTCATTTCCATTTGTCAGATCTCACAACCACTTAGTTGTAAAGAAAGCGAGTTTTATGGTAAAACAAATTCTGTAAGGCAGAGGAGCCTTTTTGGCTGCAACGGTAGAGTTGCAGGCACGGTTACATAAATGATTTCAGTAGCATGCTCCTCCCTCTGCAAAGACGCCTTTTATAACACACAATTGCCTGTAGATATGTTTATTTTGTTAATTGTCAGATCCTCAGTACTTTAAAACTTTGCTGTAACTGATAGAGACATTTTTATGCCTTTTTGAGAGCTAGAATTTGGACACTTTTTGAGAAAATGTTAAATCCAGACATTATACTGCATAGTTTTTGTTTTGTTTTTTGTTTTCGTCTTAGAAGAATGCCACATTAGGCTGGAAATGTAGCTCAGTGGTAAAGGGCTTGCTTAGCATGCTACAGGCTCTGGGTTTAATCCCAGTACTGGGGGAGGGGACTGTTAACCAGCTTGTTAAAAATCCTCTTTCAACGGGCTGGAGAGACAGTTTAGCAGTCACAGGAGCACTGGCCGCTCTTGCAAGGGACCTGGTTTGGTTCCCAGCATCCATATGGCATCTTACTACCACCTATAACTCTAGTTCCAGTGGATCTGATGCCCTCTTCTAGCCTCCTTGGGCACTGCATGCATGTGGTGCACTTAGAGCTATGCTTGTTAGAATAAGAATTAGGATTTTATAGACTTCTTTACTAATGTGCTGTGACATAGTGCCAGGTCAGTAACCTTTCCCTGAGTTTCCCCCTAAATTCTGATTGCTATGGAAAATCTTTGGTGTAACCGAGGCTATAAAGTGGGCAGTGACGTCTGTTATATTCTCATTCTTAGAGCTGGCAGCTCTGGTTGTGACTAGAATTAGCTGCAGCTCAGTAATGGAAGCCTTAATGTAAGGCTGTGATGGAGCCGGAAAAGACGGTTATGGGGGGTGACGTGACACACCTGTGGAGGTTATAGTGGGGGGAGTGACATGACACACCTGTGGAGGTTATGGGGGGTGACGTGACACACCTGTGGAGGTTATAGTGGGGGGAGTGACATGACACACCTGTGGAGGTTATGGGGGGTGACGTGACACACCTGTGGAGGTTATAGTGGGGGGAGTGACATGACACACCTGTGGAGGTTATGGGGGGTGACGTGACACACCTGTGGAGGTTATAGTGGGGGGAGTGACATGACACACCTGTGGAGGTTATGGGGGGTGACGTGACACACCTGTGGAGGTTATAGTGGGGGGAGTGACATGACACACCTGTGGAGGTTATGGGGGGTGACGTGACACACCTGTGGAGGTTATAGTGGGGGGAGTGACATGACACACCTGTGGAGGTTATGGGGGGTGACGTGACACACCTGTGGAGGTTATAGTGGGGGGAGTGACATGACACACCTGTGGAGGTTATGGGGGGTGACGTGACACACCTGTGGAGGTTATAGTGGGGGGAGTGACATGACACACCTGTGGAGGTTATGGGGGGTGACGTGACACACCTGTGGAGGTTATAGTGGGGGGAGTGACATGACACACCTGTGGAGGTTATGGGGGGTGACGTGACACACCTGTGGAGGTTATAGTGGGGGGAGTGACATGACACACCTGTGGAGGTTATGGGGGGTGACGTGACACACCTGTGGAGGTTATAGTGGGGGGAGTGACATGACACACCTGTGGAGGTTATGGGGGGTGACGTGACACACCTGTGGAGGTTATAGTGGGGGGAGTGACATGACACACCTGTGGAGGTTATGGGGGGTGACGTGACACACCTGTGGAGGTTATAGTGGGGGGAGTGACATGACACACCTGTGGAGGTTATGGGGGGGGTGACGTGACACACCTGTGGAGGTTATAGTGGGGGGAGTGACATGACACACCTGTGGAGGTTATGGGGGGGGTGACGTGACACACCTGTGGAGGTTATAGTGGGGGGAGTGACATGACACACCTGTGGAGGTTATGGGGGGTGACGTGACACACCTGTGGAGGTTATAGTGGGGGGAGTGACATGACACACCTGTGGGAGGTTATGGGGGGGTGACGTGACACACCTGTGGAGGTTATAGTCGGAGCGGGGAGTGACATGACACACCTGTGGAGGTTAGAGGACAACTTTTGGGAGTCATTTTGCTCCTTCCACCATGTGGGTCCCAGTGTCAGAACTCAGTTTGTCAGGTTTGGCAGCAAGCTCCTTTGCCCACTGAGGTATCTTGTCAACCCGAACTTGTTTTGTTGGGAGTTTTTTGTTTTTTGTTTTGTTGTTGTTCAATAAATATGAGTTTCCTTTTCCTGAACAATTTTGCAACAGCTCTAAGAACAGAAGTAAAAGTACAATTTCTATCAAGCAGCTTCTTTGCCATACTCAGCACTGTCAGAGTCTGTGTTAAGTTACTTGGAAAATTACTCCCATAAGAATGACATAGCTGTCCATGAAGAATAAAACAGAGAACAATACTCTTGTTCTCTTTATTGTTCCTAAGAAAACTAGCCAAGGCAGTCACCAACTCCAGGTTTCAGTCTTTCAGATACATACATACAGAGATACATTCAGATACATTCAGATACATACATAGCAGAGAAAGATTAAAATGATAAACCACAAGGTACCAGAAAAGTCTAACAAGGCAGCTACAAGATAGGGTAAATTATACATAATTTACCTGGGAATCTATGTAGAACCAAAAGTAATAACGTACTAGTGTATGAGTTGAAAAGCTGTGTGGCTTTTCTCCCTTTTTTTTTTTTTTTGGGTTTTTTTGAGACAGGGTCTCCCTGTAGCCCCAGCTGTCCTGGAACTCATTATGTAGACCAGGCTGACCTTGAACTCATAGAGATCCGCCTGCCTTTGCCTCCCGAGTGCTGGGATTAAAGGTGTGCGCTACCACGCCAGGCTTGTCTCCCTTTTTAAAAATATGTTTTTAATGTGTATGACTGTTTCCCTTGCATGTATGTAAATACACCCATGTGTGTCATGCCCT